ATTCTATTCAACACCTCTGTCTTTAAGTACAAAGCTGTAGGCTGTAGCAGCTTTAGGAAACATAAGTATCCTTTTTTCTGCTGCACAGTATCTGTGTGTGAAATTCTCTAAAGGGGTTTAAGTATTTACCCTGAACACTATCAGACAGTTTCTAAAATTTTCCTTATCCTGTTGCAGAAACACTTCAAAGAGAATCATAAACACAGTCTTTTGTGCTTTCAGCACACATGTTGTTTTGGAAGCTTAAGTCTGAATTCCCTCAGAATTGTAAATAATTTTTTTCTTCAAAGATGTGCAATATAACTTTACTTTTTTTTTCCTTTCCTTTTTACAGTTTCATTGTGATTCTACTACAAACAATGCTAAATATTTTCTGCCATTTCTGACAGCTAAAAATATTGGGGTCATAGAAATTATTGCCAGGAAAAAAAAAAAAAAAGAAAAAAAAAGAAAAAAAATAAAAGAAAAGAAAAAAAAGTCTCCAGGATCAGGTTTTGTTGTTGTTATTTAAGATAAAAGATACATTTCCAGAAACATCTGACTTCCAGTGTACACAAAATATAATCTGCCAAAAATACATTTATTTAAAGGCTCTGGCCTAAACAGATAAGGAGAGCCCCAAAAGACAATAAATATGGGTAAAATTTGGGTTTTTGAGCTGCCATGTTGTTCCTGCATTTCACAGCTCATTAGGCAAATCTGATCACCCATGGCCACATGGCCCTCCAATAAAGTGTGACACTGCAATATCTGAGCACCACGGGAAAACCAGAAGAGAAATTAAAATAATACCTCAGGAGTTCCTGGAATTCTGGCTGACAAGGTCAAACCAATTCAAGTGTCAGTTAAGTTGCTATGTAATTTCTGAAAGAAGCTAAGCAAGTAACCAGCCTGTTTGTGATCCCATTATCTATTTTTTTTTAAATAATTGGTTAGTTGTTTGAAGTGCCAAAGTCTAGAAAAGCTAGGAGAATTCCTTGTAAAAGCATATTTTTTCTTAGAGCTTTTCATGGTTATCTGGGAACTGAAATGCTCTTGATTTAAATACATATTTAAACCCTTGCTTTAATTTGGAAGAAAAAAAATGGCTCTGGGCTGAGATTTTGTAGCTCAAATTTCAGTGTAGACTCAATTCTAACTGTCAGGCTGTAAGCCCCTGACAACAGTGGCTTATAGCTGAAACTATGGCATAGTTCATATATAGCAATAGGGGTAAATAGTGAAACGGACCTCAAAAAGTAAAGAAAAATAATTTTACAATAAAATAACCTTGCTCTCTGATTTCAATTCAGTTGTGTAAACTGATAAAAAGCCTGTTATTAAGAATAACAGTAATAACAAGACTAAAGACAGTTTTTAAAAAAGTTTGACAAATCAATATGAAAGTTGTGCAGAAAGATACCAGCCCGCATGAAATGCCACTTTGATCATTCTGCTTACATCAAGTGTGCAAGCTTCTGCTTTTGCACTACTACAAATTAAAAGGTGTGCTGCACTTCATTATCATCAGCTGTTTTAAGACGCCAAAAAATGAAACAAATGGTGCAACAACTACTTGTGCTTCAGTTATCCCATTAAGAAATTACTTCCTCAAGATCTATGTTTCATTCCTTTAAGTAGTGCCTTCAGCGTGGGCAGTGAAGCAGTTGTGCTGTTAAATACAACTCAAGTCACTCACACAAAAATCTACATTTCAGCTCCAAGCTCCAAGCTCTCTTGTCTTGCCAAATTCCTGCATAAATAGGTGGGATTAAATGGAGCCTAGCCTACCAAACATAATTATATATGTTGTGATTTTATACTGCAATGAAACTGATACATTTTAATAATGCCAGTCTAGGCTCTTTCTCACTAAAGTCAATAAGGGTTATTAAGGCCAACTGCCATATAAATACATTGCTACATTGCTAAATGGACTGTCAAAGCAGGAAATACAATTCACACCATATAGCACTGTAAGGCCCTTTTTTATTTTTTAGGAAACACAAGATATGTTTAAAAAAGCCTTCAAAAATTCAACATGCAAGTGTAGCCATATATGTTTACTTTTCATTCCACAAACGAAAATAATTTCACTGATTTACATTTTACTTTTCTCATGTGAATTCACCTAAAACAAAATAACAAAAAAGAAGACTGTTGGACTTCTGCAGTTCTCTACAGATTTGGTGTGGTGGTTACAGATTTTCATAGCTAAAATAAATGTCAGATTGCAAGGTTTGCATGATATCAGACCCTGAGAGACAAATTGTCTCTCCACTGAATCTCAGAACAGCTACAGCAAGACTTGCTCACATCACATGAGATTTCAGCTTTTCATACTTCTCTTTACCCAGAAAGCAAAGCCTGTACGGTCTTTTTTCAAATGGTAACTCTCCCTTTGAATTCTGCAAGCATTTATCCTGATGTTGCAGGTGATAACGTGTTAATCTTGGATGACTTTTAAAAAAAAACCCCTCCAACATATGAATAGCCTTCATATTTTCAAGGGAGGGGGAGAAAAAAAAAGGAAGATTGGTTAAACTGCTTCGGATTTAATGGCTCATAAATTCATGAGGTAATATTGTGGGAAATGTGATGTTTTATCAGAATGTCATTCAAATGAAAGGTTTAACATTTACATCACAAGAGTGAGCTCTTAGTAAAACTATCCTCAGGGAAAGAAATGCCAGGAATAAACATTATGATAAAATTGTGTGCTTGCTATAATGTACAAAAATATTTAATAAAGCCCACAGGTTTGAAGACACTGGGCTGAACTTCCTACAATATCATACTCTGCCATGACAGAGGAGTAATTACAATTAGTAGAATGAGAGATAATTTTTGAAACTTTATTCCCTTCTTTATTAAACAAGGGGAAAACCTAAAAAAAACACACACAGAAGGTCCCTGAGAGTGACTTTTGTCTCACTCTAGACACATATACAAAAACGCTACGTCAACAGTTGTTCAGCTCACACACAAAGGAAAAATACATGCTTAAATATTCCCTTTTAAGAAAGAATTCCTTTTAAGCAGCAAAATCCTTCCAGAACAAGACCAACAATTCTAAGACATTTTACTTTTAGCATTTTAAATTATTCTTTATGTCTTTTTTATTTTTTTTTAAGAATCATCCAGGTAAAGTTACAAATTCGGAAGAAAAAAAACCCCCATCGAGTGCAGACTGGCTACCTTCAAAAATACCCTTAGGTTTAACTTAGCCGTGGAAGCTAACCATGCCCCAAAGCAGCGCAGTTTTGATGTTAAATTGCCGTTGAATGGGTTACCCCACAGCGCTGGATCTCCCGAGCTGCGGCATCGCGGATGGGGCTGGCGGCAGCAGCGCGGGGATCGCTCCCGCCGCAATTCCAGCGCAATTCCAGGGCCGGGAGCGCCCAGCGCGCGGCTCAACACTGCCCCCTGACGGCGGCGGGCCCGCACCGCAGCGCGAGTCGCGCCCCGCGGCCCCAAAATCCGCCCAGCGCACCGAGAGGCTCGGCAAACAGACAGCCCCAATTAACATTCTCTTCTGTCTCCTCCAATAGCTGAAATTAATTGTGATTAATATGTTATAAGTCATAAAACATTAAAGCGATTCTTAAAATATAAATTAGAAGCAGCTCCTGTCTTGGCCCGAGCTTGGGTTTGCTGATAAATATCATCCCGAGGCTTGTTGAAAGGAGATACACTGACGCCACCATGTTTCTAATTAGAGACACATGGCAATGTCACACCAATTGCAGAAAACCTAACCCTTGAGAGTTCCGGAGTTTGCTGTTTTTCCGTGTTTTCAACACACAATGGATATAAAATATCAAACATTCTTGTCTCTACCTCATCTAAGCCCGTGTTACAAGAGAGTAAGTTGTCATTTGAAAGAAAAACAAACCAGAAGATTTTTTTTTAATTATAAGGGTCATACAAGAATGTGAGCACAGAAGAACACACCAAAAAAAGGGAAAAAACGCCAAAAACCCAACAAAAATTCAATGTTCATTGATTTCTTGCGGCAACTGGTTCCACAATTCAAGTGTCCACTTTTCTGGGTATGTTTTCTGAGTCTGAACCAGCCACTGCTGGGGCAGCTCACACTGCATTTGAGCAGCTGAGCCACAGCATTTCCTGCCGAGGAAGGTCTAAGGAAGGACCCCAGGTTCTTGTTGCACCTCAAACACAGCCCTGACTTAAGTGGCACTCAGCATCCTCAGCTACAACACAAACTCTTCCAAGCCAGTACAGGCAAACTGAGGCTAGTTTATGCTGTGGCCAGCAGAAATGACCAAGAAGCAGCTTCTGATGCAGATGGATGGAGAGGAGGACAATGGGTTTGCCGGCACAGCCCCTTCTGAGTGCAAAAAAACCCAGAAAAAGGCACTGCTCTGGAGCTCTGACAGCACAGGCTCTGACCTGAGGCTCTACGTGGACATCAGCAGCAACAGGGTAGCAGTGTTTGCCACTGAATCCCTTTTCAAGAAATGCACAATGTACTTTGAAGTACCCAGAAATCATTATTACGTTGATTCTTGGAATAATCCCCTCTTGCAGGTTCTGGCTTTGGTCTAAGAGTGCAGGTGGACCACTGACAGTTGTACTTCCAGATGACCAATTTTGTTCTCAGCTTTCCTCTGACACGTGCACTACTGTTGTCACTAGCAGAGGTGTCTGTCAGGGTGTTGTACAAAAAAGTTGACAATGCACAGTATTTGTGTGGTGTAATATGTGGCTGTTATCATGTGAGGCTCCAAAAGGCTCATATGAGGCTTTCAAACTTTAAAAACAAGCAAAGTCAAGAACTAACTAAAATCCTGGGGTTTTAGATCTGATTTTGCTCACATTTTTCTCTGGCTACTGGGGGATAAAAGTAAGAGGAGACAGTGAAAGGCTGACATTGATTCTGCTTCTCATATGTTCTGAATAAAGTCTAAACCCCATTACTACAGTACAATTAAAAACATAATTGTGAGTGCTCTCAGAATTAGGCCCTAGAGGCTTTAGACTTTAAAACCAGTACTTACCATAATCTCCAGTTTTCTCCAAAATTCTTCCAATTTAGCCATAGGCTTAAGCCACCAATCAGTGCACTTCAAATACCTCTTGCCTTGGAACCAAAACTGTCTAAGCCACTCAAATTCAACCTGCAAGATAAAAACATATGGCACCATAAACATCCACAGTCCTTATCTGGGGCAGGAACGGGGCAATGCAAGAATCCAGCTATACCTGAACAGTCCCACAGGAAAGGAGACAGTTAGCAAAGCAGGTAATTTCTAAACACACCCTGACTGTTCCTCTCTAAACACACCCAGATGGTTATTTCTACTCCACATCCATTTGTGACCTGAGCTACTCTCTTCAAACCCAGAGAGGTGCAAAACTCAACCCTCTTTATTTTTACATGGTGTACATGTATAACAAACATTAAAAATTCCAGCCAGATATGCACCAACCTTGGCCTACTGTGATTAACACTGTGGGTTTCAAATTGTTTCAGTCACAAAGATGGAAAAACATTTGCAGTAATAACATTGCTAGAATGCAGCCCAGTTGCTATGGAATGAGAGGGGAGCACACAAGGAATCACAGCCTCTCATCCTTCACCAGACAGCCCAGTTAGCAAAGATGCTGCTTTTCTTTAAGAGTAATCCATAGTTCTGGTCTTTAGAATTCCATATTTATCTTTGTTGTGGTAGTTATGTTTCACACTGAGTTCAAAGCTGCTTTAATCATTATTTGTACCACAAAGAAGATATGTTTATCCCTGCTCAGCTCTGAAGATGCAAACAAAGACAACCTACCAAGGTGAAAGAATAAAGAAAACTGCCCAAAGCTGTCACCTAACACTCCCTTTCCTTCAAGAGAAAACTGAACAGCTACAGAAATCTGAAAGTGGTCCAGTTGACACTAACTAAAGGTTTGGTCCATACAGTAAAGATTATAATTAAAAATACTTAAATTTTCAGTGTATAAAAAGAATAATAAAGGAACTTTTTTAGTAAAATATAGCATGATTAGTTGGCAGACACAGATCTTAAAATGTTTTAAACAAATCCTGACTGCTAGCCAGTGACGTTTTAGTACAGAAGTTTGATGACACCCTTCCAAAACAAAAAAAAAAAAAAAAAAAAGTTGAAAGAAACTTTGCTTCCTCTATAATATTAATGAGGTATGAGGTATGAAGGACCTAGTTATGGTTTGGTAGAAAAAAAAAAACAAACCAAAACCAGTATATGCAGTTTTGGGAAAGCTGAGCATACCATTCTTCAATTAACATTTTAAGAACTGGTTTTTTTATCTCTTCACTTCTTTTTGAGATTTTTGGCCTCTACCACGTGCTGTCTGGCAAACAGGTTCCATGAAATTAATCACGAGGCCATTAATCAATGAAAAAACATTATTAAAATCAATCTTAAAATATGACTCATCACAGATCTGTTTCAGTCAATCTGATTTTTACCTAGTCATATTGATTTGTTGCAACAATCTATGTAACTTCACTCTAATTGCAGTCTGGCAAATTGGCCAAAATTTAAATGTATCTTGATCCCATACAAAATATATGTAATTTGACCCAAAAGAGTAGGTTTTTAGGTCTAAGACATAAAGTAGAGCAACAAGCTAGTTCATTTTCTGCAGGATTAGCTGGTCTCATCAGAGGTCAGTGTGTACCTAATTGCAACAAGAGGCTGTTTAATGATGTGGACTGCCATCTCACACAGCTATCAAACTCTGCTCTGCATTCATCTCACAGCATCTCTGTTTAGCTCTAACTTGGCTTAATAACTTGGGGTTGGGGAGAAAATGTTTCACCCTCCAAGCTGGCCCTCCAGAAAATGTTTCACCCTCCAAACTGCTTGACAAGTGTCTGCTCTGAACTATGACCTCTGAACAGGTATGTGTTGATTCTGAGAAAGAAAATTATCTTGATGAGGCAAGGGTGACATTTTTTGTCTTCTGTAATAACTTTTCTCTGCAGCAGGAACTCACTCCTCTTGGCTTGTCTCCTTCCATGCACAGAAGAAGTTGTACCACTAAAAAAACCTCAACACTAAATACTGGAGAGACACAAAAAGCTCATTTCTAGCCCTATTGGAATGGAAGTTTAGAGAAATTCATCTTCTGTGACAAAACTCTCAGGTTAACTGCTCTTGCTAAGTAAAGATTTTGTCAGAGAGTTTTAATTTGGAGACTTCCATACATGAGAACTAACTTCAGTTATCATTAGAAAGTATTTTACATGACTGAAATGGACACAGCTTAAACATATTTACAAATAAAAATATACAGGCTAAGTGTCTGAGGAATAACTTTCATCTTCTAATGGATTTTCACTTATGACTTACATCTGTGCAAGTCAGCTCAGAATCAGGCCTCATGTGTCTAATCTCAACATATTTTCAAGTTGTTCTTTAAGCAATGATTAAAGGCCAATTTTAGGTTATTGCCAATACTGGGCAGTGAAAGGCCAACAGCAGCATTTGACATTCTGTGAGGCAATGCTCCTCAGTCAATTCTTTAAAAGTACTGGTTATTCAATGCTGCACATATAGGCAATCTGTATTTTCTCTCTGCCATACTTGTAGCCACCAACCATGCTGTCCGCTCACTGTAATGTGCTAAAACAAACGAATCTTCCTTTGGCTGCCTGCACCACTCCCCTTCTCACCCACGACCTCAGTGTCCAACATCACATCCCTTCAACTCAGCTAGCCCATGTTTTACCTCCCCATGCATTCTCCAAGCTCAATTAATCTCCTGTTGCCATAAAAACAGATTTGCTGTAGGCAAAAGTGACTGTACCTCACAAACAACAGGGCAACCAATTCAGTCTCTAGTTTCAATCATGGCAATCAGGATCTGATTATCACAGCTGAGCAAACACCCTGATGTGAACAAATCCCCCACCTTTCCAACTTAAGTACTTAGTTTGAAACCTGCCATATTTTCAACACAATCCCACAACACAAAAGACTGCCTCTGGTGTTTCACTACACTGAGGACATCTGAATATTAGTTTGGTGCTGGCAAATACAGAAGCCTTGAAAATACCTCACACCAACATGAACTATTAGCAGATTCTGCATTAGTCAGAGCAAGATAAATTTTCTTTGAAATGTGAAGAACAGGCTAGTGAAGATCTTTTCTTCAGATTTATTCTTATATGTATGAGCAGTTACATTGTCTGTCCAGCAGTATTTAATTTCTTTAAAAATAATTTAGCTGCCAGCGGTTTCCCGCAGGTGCCCTGTAGCTCTGTTTGGGATGTACTCAGCAGCTGTACACGTTTAAAAAAGCCAAGCAGGAGGAAAGTAGTAGGAGGAGCAAGAAGTTGCCATTCAGAGAACTGTGCGAGACCATTTCTTTTGGGATAAACTATTCCTGACCAAACAACAGCCTGGTTGTGACTGTGTGTGAGCTGCCAGGCTATTGTGCTCCCCAGCTGCCAGGTAACTGCATCTGCTCAGCCTCCTACACCCCTGCCACTGAAGTGTTTGAGCAGACTGCAAGGCCATGAGCTGCACAGACAAACTGCACGTGAACACCCTTAATTAAGGTTATCTTTACTTACAGCTACAAAGTACACACTGGGAGTGAAGTGACTCACACATCTAACACACAGCACATACCTTGCAATTACTCAGATATTCCTTTGAAGGCTGTTTTAGTGAGGGAGACCATGACAACAAAGCCAGGTTTAAAGAAATACTAAACTTCCACCTGGCTGCCCACTAGAGATGCTAAAATCCTCCTCAGGTTAGCATCTCACTTTTTCAACAGGAATATCTCTGTCAAGACATCCAAGACAGGGCCCTGAAAAATGAACTCTGGGAAATCTAACATCAAGTAAGGACACCCCCCAGATACTCTCTCAGAGGTTTCTCTGCCTACCAAAAAACTGAAAAAAAAATGAAGTCTCCACCTATGCTTCAGATCCTCAGTTCAAACACACTTTATCAGCACAGCAAGTCAATTTTCCTGCCCAGGAGTACAAAAGTGAAGGCACAGAACCATTCCTCATTCTTTCAGACCCGCTCTTAGGCTTTTTCCCTCGAGCAGACACAGATAATTCATCCAGGCCTCATTTGGCAGAGCAGTTAATTTCAGCACAGTCTGTGAATCTGCTAAACTAGTAGACTTCAGCTTGGTACTGTGATGGTTCTGTTCTGGTTAATGGTCTCTGATGATTGCTTTGGAGGTAGCAGCAAGGGGGTAAAAAGAATGAACCCGTAGCATTTCAGGAAGATAAAGAACCAAGAAGAATGGCTGCAGCTAGTTATAAGAGTTAAAACTGAAAAACTTCAGTTAGGACAATATTTAAAAATAAAATACAACAATATCATCACCACTAGACACTATCTCATTTCAAGCTCGTGATCTCTGGTTCAGAAGAAGATAAAAAAATTTGCAAGGAGCTTTATGAATAGCACAGAAAGCTGTCTATCAGAAATACACAGGCAAAACTGGGAAACTGGGTGGCAGTTCTCCATTAATCTTATGGAGATCTGGATTTTAGTGATTTTGATTTTACATTAAAAACTGCTAACAAACTAAGAGTGTGAAATGAAAGGTTCATTTTCATCAGTAAGCAGTTTGATTCTTTTAAGAAACAAAACAGTCTCTTGTTCTTCCATCTGCCTGATAAAGTTTGAACCTAAAACTTCTATTAGCGCCTGAAAAGACAAAGATTTATCATACAGGAAGGTAGGAAGCTTTTATATGCAAGAGAAGTTGCATTAGCTTCACAGGTCTTTATATTTTCAGCTCAGTGATGTTTGAAAAAAAAAAATGGCATTTACCACAGAGATAAGCCCCTAGAAATTTTGTCTACTTGTGCAGCAATAAATGAAATTTAAGGAGCACTCTAATAGGAAGTGAAGATTTGACCTTGGGATAAAAAATTTAGGAAAAAAAAATACTAAAATAGGAGGATGGGTAGTCTCTTTTCAAATTAAATATAGATCCAGTGTGTCTACTAAGTGCACAATAAGTACAAGTTAAACAAGGATTGCTGTTACAGTATATCCCATATGTGTAACAGGAAACATCCCTGTATGTCACATTGCAAAATTATTCAGGTGACTGCAAACACCAGGGGCTACTCTCTCACCTGATGTAAACAGCACATGGCTTTGATGTTAAAGGACCCGTGCAAATTTATACCAGCTGTGCCTGTGGCCCTTGCTGTGCAAACCACATATGCGTGTAGTTTTATGGACTGAGCCTGATTAATGTTTTGTAAACCCCTGCATGCATCAGACTTCTTTAAATTGCCCTAGGAGCTGTTTTGGTAAAAGTCAAGGGCGTGAATCTTTTGCCAACGCTATGCTCCATTTTACCAACTGTAAACACAATACAGATAAAAATGTGTTCTACAAAGTTTTAGTAGCACTACACAATATTATATTCCTCAGCAGACAGAAATTTAAACATTTTACAAGAATTCTAATTTGAGTGCAAATGACCTTTGTACAGCTTCTAATTTATCTTAGTAGAAATACAGCACAGCTCCAAGCAAGAAAGCACTTCCAGCTTCAGTGGAATTCTGTCCAAGTGCATTAATACACTTGCATCTTTTGTAGCACTAAGTGACCTGTTAAAATATGTTCCTCACCAGTATTTCCACTGTATTTTCTTCAGAACATACTTTAGAGCACACAGTCACAATTATGCCACCCATGGCATTATGCAAAGACCTGGTTCAACAAAAACCAGGGAGGAATAACTGAAAAAATCTACCTGCTCCTTTCCCTCTAATCCCTTCTCTCTCTTCCTTTTTGTTAGAGAAGTGCTAGAGTAGTCTGTTTGACCACCACACTGTCAGTTCTGGTGCAGTATTTTGTGAAACTTCTCTCACTTTACCAGCAGAGGGATCTTAAGAAGGAAAAATGAAAACTTCCACGATAATCCCAACTACTGTACCCAAGTAAAAAAGTCATAAAAGCCACATTGCAAACTCCTACAAAGCAATGCCTTGTAAGAAGCTGAACACACTTAATTGCCATTAACTCCATGAGGAGATGCACTGCTCAGACCTGGCTGAGGTGTTTTCAGTGTGGATCATCTCACCTCATTATGTATTTCTTCTACTTGCTTCACCACTGCAGCTTCCAGTGATTTCAAAGACAAAGCCATTGAATCAGGATCAGTCTGTAAATTCTGGAGTGCCAGTTCACACCGCCCAAATATGTATTCCAATGTTCCTCTTGAAGACTGTAGAGATACAATAAAAACTTATATATAGCCACTTCAGAAAATTTGTATTTCTCAACTACATTTCATCAGCAATCCGTGAGGTGTGGTGCAGCACATTCACAACTCACATCTGATAAGCCCAGCTGGGAGTTAAGGCCAACTACCAATACAGAACCAATTGTACCTCAATCAAAAATAAACAACAGCAGTTAATGAAAAGAGTTTGAGTCATAAGCATAACATGAACCACAATTCTGATGTCCTGGTGCTGCATACATGGCACCAGGATACTGGCTGTACAAGGGACCAAAGAGTGAAATGGTTTTGGTACTTACATCTGCCACCCTGTGAGTGGAGCTGAACCGAGGTGACAAACCAGCCAGAACACAGTGCTGATGGGTCATATTGAGGTCATCTAGGGACAGATTAGAAAACCTTAAGTACAGGGAAAAATTATACTTAATCAAAGTTAATCTGGTTGAATATGAATTAAGTACACTATTTATCCTGCTTTAATGCTTAGAGAATTCAGTCACATAGCTCCAGTGTTCTGCAGAGCACAGTTACTATTTACTATGCTAGAGTCAGAAATATTTCTACTTACACTAGCTTTCTCCTATACAGTTTAGAAGTGGCATTTTCCCACCTCTCATAGGGAAAGTTCACCTAAACAAATTAATTCCTCCAAAGCTGAGGAGACTACTAAGTCCAGACTATGGAGGAGAATAAAGAGGCTACTTGGAAGTTACAGTCTCTTTTCCCAAAATCACTAAACATGCTCAAAGTTCTTGCAAACAAAATGCTAAAAAAACCCCAACAAAACCTTACGAAAAAACTATTTCCTATAGACACATATGAGGATAAATTGCACAGAACCCAGTCTCGCAAGGGCCACAGAACATTATCATCTCTGGACATCACAATATTTAAATACCACAATCACTTTCAAGAAGAATTGTGTCAGAAAACAAACCTAAACTCTTTCACTACCCCTTTCCGTGCCCGTTCTTTATGGCTGTATGTAGCAAACACAGAATTAGACATTACATTTTGATGTGCACCTTTATTCAAACCCTTGGCATAACTTTCATTGCAGAGCTGCACCTTAGAATTGCTCCCAACTGTCTCTAATCCCTTATGAATCTCAGAAAGAAGCCTGTAATTTTAATTTATAAGTTAGCAAAAAATTTAAAACTCTAATTGTACTAAAATAGTTGAAGCTTCATTGATTGCATGCTTCAAAGCATATTAAAAAATACCTTTTAGGCCATAAAAGATTGTGGCAAAGATTTGCTTTCTTTTTCTCCTAAATATATATTAACTGAAAAGAAAAAATCACTCTTTGTTAAGTTGGCCACTGTCCATCTGGCATTAAAAGCTTTTATTCAGATACAGAACACTACACCCAGAATGCTATTTTGGTTTTAGAGCCAAACCAAAGCTGTTTCATTCCTTGGTCACCCATGTTGGAAGTACCACAGAGCTCTCGTGGGGTTCAGTAAAAAACAACTCTTAAGGGGTCAGCCTCAGCTTTACACGACTAAGCACTGGCCCATGAGGTCTGCAAAAGCAAAACAGAGACTCTTCAGCACAGAATGCAGGCTATTATTCTCTACATGGGACCCCCCCCATCAATTAAACTTCTCAGTGATTTCACTGTTATTTACAGATAGCAGATACATTTTGGACTCTGGATGTTGCATATTCAACTTTTAATTGTGGAGTTCACATGGTACATCTCTCTCTTCCTGCACTGTACTGACATCTGGGATTTTCTGCCTCTTGTTTTCTCAAAATACATCCCTCCAGCACAGACCTTCAGCACAGTCCTCTCCTCTCCTTCAAACTACTGCCAGATCCTCCCTTTGCTCTCTGATCCTGTTCTCAGTCCCAGCCCCTGCTCTGTCCCCTCTGGGCTTTCTTCTGACAGCTGAATTACCTGGGCTCCACCAGCAGCACTGAAAGCCCCGTGCTCACACAGCCTTTATCAAAAGAACAGACTAATGGGTATGTCTGTGCACAGACACTGAAATAACACACAGACACTTAATTCTCATTCTACCACTGAACTATCAGGGAGCTGAGACAAAGCACTTCAAGAGGAACAATGTGACACCCATGTCACTGCAGACTATTGCAACATAACAAATAAAAGGTAGAAAGATAAGAAAATCTTAGCCAATCCTTAAAGAAGTGGAGGCTAAAGGCCCTAAACTTATTACTTTGAGGTAAAATATTTCCCAGGAAAACACAAACCACAAGAAAAAATGGCTCCCAGAATTACCAACAGGGATTTATACAGCCTTTTCTATCTTCTCTAAAGTGTTCCCCATGAACTTTTTGGACAGTTGTCTCTTATCTATTTCAAGAGGCAAATAAAAGGTACAGTGGTGTTTAAAGCACTGGCAAAATCTTTGATATTCTAATCACCACAAATATCTACAAACAAAAGTGAAACGGAATGGACTTTTGCAATTAATTTTCTTAACTACCATTAACAAACAAGAAAAAACATGCACAAATAAAAACAAATTAAAAGTCTAAAAACTAGAAAAATAATGAATTTAAAAGAAATATGTCAGAGTTTGCAAACTTTGCAATCAAAGTTTTTTAATGACAAATATATTTCTGGAGTTCTAAGTCTTAAGAGTAGCTAATCCAAATGTACCATTTGGATTAAATGTAGACTCAAAAAAAGGAGGAGGTGAAAAGCTCCAACACATTCAAGATGCTAGAGAGCAAAGAGGGTTCAAGTTCATTTGTGAAAATAGAAGCAGATTAAATATCTAGAAACAGTTTAATGAGTCACTTTATACATGTGGAAGTGTTTCCATTAAATATTAGCTTTAACCACAAGCCAACTCTGCAATGTGTGCAACCTACTTCTGGTTGGTCATGAAAATAATTTTTTGATGCTTCTCAAAGTATAATTTGCTGGGGGTGGGGAGTGGTATAAGACTGAAAGTTCATCTTCATGCTGTTTTAAAACCCTAACCTTCAAGCTAAGAGCTTGATCTATGGGAAACAGCTGCAGAAAAGTAAATCTGCCTTTGAAAGAGTCCAGAATGTATTTTTGTTAAGTATGTTTTGAAGTCATGGTAGGAAAATTAGTGAAAATTGTAAATCTGCTTGCAAATCTGGTCATGTCTAACTCAAAGATTAGGGAAAAAAATTCCAATTTAATAGTAGGACCATGACAAGCTTAGTTAAGCATGCTCCAGGACAGAGCAGATGGGGCCCTTTGCTCACCTCCACGCATTTTGGATTTATTGCATGCACCCAACACGTTTCATATTAGACACCCCTTGACTGTGTACTTGAGACAGCAGGGTTCAGTGTGCACTTCCTCTGCAGACCAATATATTATTCCAAATTGAGCTAAAGTGTTTCCGTTTCATGAGTGATATAAAGTCTAGATTTGAATTTTTAGGCAGCAGACTTGCAGCCATTCACTGGACTTTTTTCTTCATATTAAGAAAAGCCTAAAAAATTATTTTAAAAAATCACTCTTACTTAAAATAATTTTGAGGTTTTGCTTAATAAAATACATTTTTATTATTGTAATAGCTTAAAAGAAGAATGGATGTGATCACCTTATGTTTAGTATTAACATACATCTAAATTATGGCTCATGATTTTATCTGAAGAGGCCTTCTGGAGAAGGACAAAATAAATTTAAATAATAAGACATTTTACTTAATTTCTCCCCAGAATAATAAAAACATTCATAAAGCCAATGAAGAGAGGAACAGAAACATTATTAAATGTCTACTAGAAATGCTAAAAAGAAAAAACTGGGGTTTTTTTTGTTACTTTGCTATACCCATTGATCTTGATTTACAAGTTACTGTAATTGCATCTTACAATAAGAAATATCCAGTTACCACACTCTCTTATATAGATTTGTGTGAACCACAGGAAATACTAGTGGTATTACAGGTACAGAAATTGATAGGACCTGACTTTTAAATTATAAGCAACATGTTGAATGTGATGTTTCAGCATTTTCAACATTCATATAAAGCAGTAACACTACACCATTCCAGCAACTGGAAGGACAGACCTACAGAGTGGCTGAGTTCCGTGCTGGGGTGGGTGAGTCAGTGGTGGTCACAACCAATCCCCCCAGTCCTACCAATCAGTGTCTGTACATGAACCACCATCAGCTGCAGGACTCTTCAATATTCTGCTTTCTAGATGTCTTGCATTCTGCCACTGCTTTTAACATAATGCCAGTAAGAGGACTCTGCTTACTGAAATGAGGTTCTGGAATACAACATGTACAAAAGCAAGACAAATGAATCTTCTTTTTTTATTACTGTCAAGTTTCTTTTTTTTACAGAGTTTTCATATTTTGTCTTTTAGTTGGCATCTTCAAGATATCCCCTGTTAAGTTAATGTAAAAAATCCAAACAGTAAAACATACACTGGAACTATATATGTTTCCTTATATTGTCTTTCACTCCAAGTCAAAATGATAAAGGCAGTCCTGCTACACAAAGAAAGCCAATAAAAGGGTCATTTTGAGAATACCCCCTAAGACTATTTAGAAGAGTAATTTTTTCCCCAAGTAATTGAAAAGAAACACAAAGACTATGGAAATGCAGAAGAGATTAAAAAAACACCTGGCCTACAGAGCTCAAATCTGTAGCTCTTCAAAAGTACTAATAAGAAAGTGATTTACACATCATCTTCAAAAGAATGTTTAATATATCCTTTGTTTCCATCTAAACATGCTCATGATGTTACTCATTAAATAAACTAACTTTCTGATCTACCCTTCATATAGAATCTCTGAAAATACTTTAGTCACTATATAAATTCCACTAGGGAATAAAAAACACCCTTATGATCTGGTAACTCAATCAACTACAATCTACAGTATTTTGCAATAAAAATACTAAAGTTAGTCCCCTTCTTTTATTAAATACCTTCTGAATCTCTTGGCCAGCAATGCTCTCTATATGCTCAAAGTTTCCAGTCAGGAAGGATTAGATAAGAAGTTTACTTGATGGCCTAACTGCTATTGCACAAAAATAGATTATAATAACCTTTCTAGGAATGTTTAGCTGCCACTTAAACTTCATTTTCACTGTCCCTCTTTCCTTCTAGGCTTCTACTTCATGCCCTTACAAAAAAGGGAGGCACGTCCAGACCACTATGCCAAAGGATCTCACATCGATCTTTCCATGTCTGAACATTCTTCAGAGCACAGTTAGTCCAGCACTTCTACACTACACTTCCTGCAGAAGGATTTGATGAGATAACTAAGAACAAGGAATGGCACATGGGTTTTATGATGGCTTATAAAGGAATTGTTTTTTAGTATATATACTGTGAAAGGTGAAATTCAAAAGACTGTTCTGCCCAAAAAGCTAGGAGAGTGACAAGTCATTCGAGGGACATTCCATGGAATATGCCTTCCAAGTCACAACCACATAAGCAGGGAGCTCTGCAAGTGCTCTCAGTCTTCAAAGATGATGTATGTCAAGCCAAGACACTAAACAGGCCAACATGATGTTGTCAGAAACCTTGTTATTGTTTTTAGTGTAATCTATAACTAAATTTATTTTAACAAAAATGAAAACCAAGAGAAACAGAAGCCAAAACAGAAAGCAACAGATTTTGTGTCAACAAAGCTTAGCAACAGCTCTCGCTTCGTTTCTTTCAATGGATAAACCTTAGCACATAAGCTCAGCTGCTCCAGCAAATTAACTCAATTTAATTTTCTTTTCTTAATCCTCTACGCTTGAGACATCGAGACTCATTCTTGGAGTAAGACAGCTGTGTTCATTATGATCTCAGCATAATCCCACTACTAGAAAACAGCATGCTTGAATGTAGACATAGTAGCAGAAGGAGAGAAGTGTCATGTGTAAAACTGGTGACTAATAAAATATCCACAGATTGGCATAATGACTGAAACCTCAAGGACCATGGTACCAGAAAACTTTAGGACATTCATTCACATCCTACATAATACAGGTGTCACTTGATAAGCCAAGCTGAAGAACAGAAATTTATTCGTTGAACATAAGAGATGCTCAGAAAAACTGCATTAAGAATACAAAAAGAATCTAGAAATACAAGGATGGAAGAGATACAGCACAACTTCTGGCAAGATCTGGGGAAATTCTAGTTATGGCCTGAAGTTTAACTTGAACTAGTAATTCTGACTGCAGAACAGACAGAAAAAGGTGAAAAAAGACTATTTCTTTCTTAGCTGTAAAGGGAAACAAACATTAAGAAAAAAGTTCCCCTAAATACCTTGGAATTAGGCAGAGCAGGAGAAATTTACTATATACTCCAGACAGATTTCATGTTTTACTAAATAAGAAAAGTCCTAACTGTAAGGAAGGTATGGTAACTCATTTTAACATAAGTGTAATTTTCTCTATTTTCAGCAGACAGTTCAACATTTTAGTCCTTGAAAATTACCAAGCATCAAGTAAATGTCTCCTTGGTGAAGTGGCACTGCCAAGCCAGGTGTCTCTATGTCCCATGCCACCTTCAAGCCCACGTGCCAAACAGCTGGGTCTCTTCCCTTCAGTTCCTGTTCGTTGCTTTCTTTTACAGATGAATCTTGAGAGAGAGAAAGAGACCACAAGAATGAGGGAACAGGTAAGAATCATAAATACAAAATCTGGCTTAGACTTAAAGACATCCCATACTGGTACAATCTGAATAGGCTTAAAGATTCTATAGTCTCCACTTGCTATAATCATCATCTCCAAATTCAAAAGTATGCAACAGGTAAAAGAAAAATAAAAACCATATGAGATTAAGAATTGTTTTGCAACCAATTTTACCAAGATGAAGACTTTAAGTTAACTACCAAGTGAAGGCTAATCAAGTCAAGGCTTGTAATGGACTTAAGGTTTTCTGAAACTCTTAAGCATGTGTAAGGGGAGTTTTAGTCAAGCATCACTAATTTTTTTTCATTACTAAAACTACAAGCACAGAAGAAAAAAAATTCAAAAAATGCAGCAACATTGATATAACAATAGATAACTTCTGAAAGAATTTCAAGTTGTAAACTGCCAAAGCATTTTAGGAAAAATTTCATTTGTTTATGTACTTGCAATTTCACCAAATCATAAACTGAGGCAAAGGTGAAATAATGGTTACAAAATACAGTCTACACCAACAAAGCAAATCTTGGAATCATCTCTGTCATTCTTTTCTCAAAATTACTAGTCAAACATGCTAGATAACATGTGCAAGAGCCAATGAAGCTTCAATGCATTTGTCACAACACTTTTCTTATCATTATGCAACATGAACGTGTTGAGCTTGGGGAAAAAATAATCCACTGCATAGAAACAGTATTTAGAGCTTAATCCCTCAGAACCATTTTCATAAGCTTACTTCACTGCAGTATAAATTGAAAGATACAGTCAGCATTTATAACAAGGTATTTGGGAGCTATGGTGTAACAGTTTTACAGCTAAAGTAACAGTGCATTTTGACAGAAGAGGGATGAAGTTTTAATAAGTAGCTGGCACAGAACAGCAGTGAACAACTATGAATTAACTATGCACCATGCCCAACTCTTGCTTAGAACTTAGCAACTGTGTCCATTTCACTGTCCATTTGAAATGTGCTTTTGTACAATAATTTAAAAAACCTTTGTCTTAAGTAAATTCTAGAAGAAAAACATTAAAGATGTATAGCTCTTATTATAAGAGGCACACACAAAGTGTGACCACAAGCTCACATTTCTAAAATATTCATGTCATTTGTCTCACATGGTTACTGCAGGTTGTTTAGCTGGGAACAGCCTTTAGAAAATTAAGACAATTTATTAACTATTATATCAGTATTATCTAAATTCAGGAAGTATTATCTAAATTCAGGAAGCAGAGAGACAAAGCCTATTAAAGAGCCAATCTGAATGTTCTTAAGTGAAAATTCTTACAGTCTCCAAGTTCCCTCCCTCCCTGCTGCAGGGCTCATCCAACTGAAGCTCTCACTCACAGGAGCAGCTCTAGGCCCTTCCATCAAGGAGCACAAAAATGAGAAAACAAGAGCTAGAAAATACTCAGAAAAATCAATACTAAACTCTTCAAGGGGCTTTCATATTTTCTACCCTGTTCAGATAAATCGTAACTTAATTTAAGAAAAATGTTTTCTGAAAACTGCAAATAGGACGGCTTTCAAAGCATTTTTAATGCAATACATCATGGATATTATAAAAAGAAGTAACCTTTCTGGGTTAACTCTCTCTGCTATGCTGCCTTCCCATTCACTTTGGCAGCAGCACTGTTCACAATATGGCACCAATAAAATATAGAACTACAATCAGAGACAGCAATTTCAATCAAAGTTTCCTGGGGTCTCCTCATAAATCCAGCACCTTTGGAATGTGCTCGTTAAAATGACTTATTTTTTGCAGTTTGATAAATTTTTTATTGCTTAAGTACTGAGTTCAAATACAGCTCACGGTCTCCTTTTCTCTATATTCTCAATTATTGCACCTTATAATTATCAGCAGCAATTGAAACTGATTGCTCCTACCATGTTATTTTGGTAACAAATGGAAGCAAGCTGCTACTTGCTTTTAAATGCAAGCTACCCTGAAACTGAGAGCAAGGGAAAAAGAGACACCTTAACATTTGTGGCATATCCTGACAAACTTTTACATAAAAAGAAGTTTTTATTAAATTCTCTATGACACCTCAAGAATGACTGGATGCTGTATATTTATTGATATAATTACAGCTGCCATTTAAGTGAAAACATTTGGATGCATCTGAATCATAAACATTTGAGAATAAGTCATGTGAATAAATCATGGATCACATACCCATCACCTTAAGAACACAAATGTATTTTGTAGTAAGCCATACAGAAATGGTCAAGTACACAAGTATTTAATGGAAGTATAACAAAACTATGTGCAGATTTGAATTCTGGTCAGCAGAGATTTACAGACTTGGGCCTGCAAGAAACCTTTATGCTGGAATCCCAAATAAAATGGTGCAATGAAGTAAAATCTTACCACAACATAACAATACCTCATCAAACCTGTAATTATGGTAGAGCCATGAAAGAGAGAATGTAGCTGCAGAAAATTGGCCACAACATTATGCTTTTAACGAGACAGCTCAAATTTCAGAGATGTTCCAGCACTAAGATCTGATCTTATCAGGTTTGGGTCAGGGTTAGGTTCAGAACAATATGAAACTTGTTTTCCTGGAACTACTTTGGTTATTGTTCCAGAGCACAGAAAGTAAAAGTAGCTTTGAAAGGTTTCTTTGCTATTTGGCTCCAAAATCTTCCAGAGCCTGAGACTTTTTGATGCTCTGAAACCTAAATTATCTCTATTCAAGTCAAACTGTAATGCCAAATTATATCCTAAATGTAACCTTACATACCATTTTTTAAGAAAATAGAATCACTGCCAACACACTGGTAAGAACAAGGACTGTAAGCATTTACTTCAACATTAAATCCAACTGACCACTGTTATTCTATTTCTTACAGATTGATTGATTTTTTTCCAGAATGCACATATTCCTCAATTTAAAAAAAAATACAAAAATTATGAGCATCTTTCAATAGCAATTATATATGTTACATGCAAGAAGTGGAAGAAGCAGAGCATGCTTTGCTCCTTAGCAGCTGATGAGAAATAAGTATCTACCCAAAGTTATTTCCTCTACATCATTACTGAAAACCATAGTATAAGAGGTTAAATTGTATTAACATTTAAATTTTTCTTGCCACTGACATTCACAAAACCAAAAAAAAAACATAAGATTTTGCCAACAATGTTCTTATCAATTCATGTTTGGAATGGTGTATCCACATAAATCAGGAACAAAAGCATGAAAATAAGAACAAACAATATTCTGTGATCCCTTCATTTCTGAAGGACAGGCTGTATTTGATCAGTGAGAAGATGTTTAAAAAAGACCCCACAACCCACAACAGTCTATTCAAGTGCTGATTTCTTTTTAGACAACAGGGATTCTAATCTATTATTATGAAAATTAGTGGATCACTAAAGATTTGCGTCTTTGAGAACATAAACCAAACTGGTCAGACCCTACAAGTTAGAGCGGTGACCATTTCATACACTTACCCATTTCTTCAAAAGTAAGAAAACATTTTCTACATAACATTTCTGTTACTTCAACAAGTAATATTTATGTTATATTATTGTCATTAGAAATTATTGCAATACTGCAAAAAAGCATCTACTCCATGACTTTTATCCACTAAACAGTACATAAAGAGGATTATTGTCAAAGTTAGACTGACTTCAATGCTGAACAACTTTTGTAGTTTCAGGATTGTTTTTAATATGGTGGGGAAACATACATCTGTTGTGCATCTTAATAATTTTTATTCCCAATTAAATGAAATAGCCATCATTAGACTATCTGCCAGGATGCTGCTTCTAGCTGCACAGAGCAAAAACATACAAGCAGCATTTCACAAAAGAAACAAGCACAAAAGGTCCTAGAAGATCAGTCATCACTGCAACTAACAGTAAGTTTGTTAAACCTTTTAACAATACCTTGTCAGCAGACAGAGCCAGTTTGTAGGAGTTCAAGAGTTAAACAGCAAATAGCCCTTACAGCAAGAAAACAAACTGGATATGGTATAGACTCTAGAGAAAACTACTTACCTAATCTCTTCCTCTGTGGGAAATCCAGGTAAGAGAAGATGGACACACTTCAAGTGTTTACATTTTTTTCCATCTCCTGTAAGTTTGTAACTGAAACAGGTCTCTACTTCAAAGAACATCTTTAGAACCAACTAGTGCTCTGGTAAGTAATAAAACTTCCTACAAAACTTACATTGACCTGATGGAAAGCTAGTCATTAGGAACTTTTCATGGATAAAATCCAATTTTTGAAAATGCCCTTATTCTACTGAATTGCAATTCACTTTATAACCGCAGCAGGAAATAAATATGCATTATTAGCTTACTATATTAAAATCCTGAACAATTTTTTTACCTTCATGCTCTCAGGTGACAGGATACTTGTAAACTAATGTGTTATTAAAAATGCCGAATTGATCAAAATTTGAAATTCCCATTCCTTGATAAATTCTGAAATTAAATTAATTCCAAATACTGTTAGTGGCAGTATAATAGAACACACATTCTGTAACCTATTCAATTCTGCATATGCACCCTGACTACCACTCATGCACTTTGATGCAGCATACACACTAAAAGGAAACCTCTCAAATTTTTATTCTCATCACTTGACAACCTACTCTTAACCTGATGTAATGTAAGTAAAAGCATCAAGCTAAATGTTTACTTTATTTTGTTGTTAGAATTGTACTTCATTTGAAGCTGCTTTGAAAGAGTTTTACACTGGAAACAAGAAAATAAACACTGATACCAATTAGAATATCAGCTTGTTCCAATATCTTTATGTTGATGTCTAAATTTCTTTTCTGGCATATTGAAATCTGCTTCTACTCCAATTAACATTGATCAAAGTTTCAAACATGAAATTTTCATTATGGCATCAAACAATGAACAAATGAACAAGAAAACAAGTTGTTTCAATTACAGTAGTATCTGTTTTAATGCTATTTAATCCAGTAAGTAGGTACAAAACAAATACTGATATAAAGATGTAAATGAAAGTACAAAGAAAACCATATAACCTGAGTTGTGCATCTCTAAACAGTCTGACAGAGCTGCCAGAGCTCAGCAAGACTGCTTGACTCCAAGGGCTGCTGCTGCTGCTCAAAATCTGACAACCTGGGGACTGTGCATTTGCAGCAGGGTAGGTCAGTACCAGCCATGCAGCCCTGGAAGCCCCAGCTCCCACATGCCAAGGCTGCCACAGACCCTCAGTGTCCACTGGGCATTTGAGGAATTGAGAGCTGACAAAAAAAAAACATGCAGGAAAAAAGAATCAAGCCAGCTCCAACAAAAATCAACATGCTTAATTTGTGTTTGCGTTTCCCACTGAAGTGGTGTTTTCTCCAAGAAAATTACTAATCCAGCTCATCTACATCTTCTAAGGAAAAATAGCTCCAACAAAAAAATTCTGACCACAACGACTCATTTTATTATGTGTTCTGTAATGATTCTGTGACAGTCTTTTTACACTACACTGAGAATTCAAGGCTAATTCAATACTAAATGAATGAGTGGAGTAAGTGCTAATAAAAGATGTCGGCATAAAAACTAAACATATTTATGGAAAATAAAAAGTCAAGACATGATTCCATAATATAACAATATTCTTCAAAAAGATGCTGAGATCCTCATGTTTCACAGTTGTGGAGACCTGGTAATATAGGAAATATTGAAAGTCTTTGCAGAAACCATCAAAACATTGACATTACCTAGAACTGGAAGGAATAATATTACAAACAATGTTGAGGTTATAACCACCAGCACTGGAAGGCTGTTAACAGAAAATCAGAAGAGAAAAATTTACTTCTCTAAAATCAAATCCTCTTGGATGCACTGGGTACAAAACTTTAACATAAAGAGATATTTACCAACACTTCAGTTACAAAACCATACTCCTAAGTATAAACAGGATCCATTTCCTCCAATTTATGAACAGGCAGGTCATTGCTTTCGGGTTACACAATGACAACCCTGACACAGATGGGAGTGAACTGCTGGCACACAGAGCTGGACTGCAGGGCATCTCTCCACGCTGCTCCATTGCCATGGCAGGCACCTGAAACTCCCTCTAAAGCTCAAGAACTCGACCTGAGCAATGCAGAATCAGAAAAACTGCAAGTAGTGACTTTTCATTTTTTTTTAATGATAGAACAATCAATTGATTTACTAGAAAGATCTTGTTTTCTTTGTTTTTCTATTTCCCAACTTTTCAGAAAAAAATACAAACTTTTAATTTAAATGTATTTATGAAAAAACCTTGTATTAGGCAAAAAAATTAATTATGCATAGATACCAAAATAACTTTTAGCCTAAAAATATAAAATATTTCTATCTACCCACATCAATCAAATCTTCTCCAGAATTTTCAGTGGTTTTAAAACACCATAATTTTTACTTATTTAACTCACTGAATAAAAGAAAGAAAATCAACTGACGAGTTGAGAATAAACATAGCAGCTTTCATTTTTGTTCATTTATAGCTGAACTTAAAGGGACTCATTTTTTCCCCCTCCATAAGCAAACTTTATATTAAAGCAAAAAGTTTTAAGCATACCACAATAAATCCTCATACACAGTATTATTATAGTATTATGTTTAGGTTTCTTTAACTTAAAATCCTACTGAAAAAATATTTCTCTACAGTACTAATGGAAAAAACCCCAACACATCTACTTGATACCATTGACAAACAGAACAGAAAGAAGTTCATGAAGAAAATTACACTTTTACCAGTCAGGAAATCTCTTCTACTCAATTTGCTAAGCCAGTTGATGTTTTATATCCAGGAAAATGTAAATAATATGACTTCAGTTGTACATTAAGTAGCAAAGTGACACTGAGTTTCAAAACTAATAACAAAACCAATAAGAGAATGCACATAGGAATATAAACTGTTATTTTTATATCATAGTCTTTAGCCAAAACCTTCTGAAGTCAATGCAAATTCTTCCCCTGTTCTAAAGCAAACATCACAGCATTTTTGGAAGAAGAAAAAAATCCATTGCTAATGATGAAACATAACAGAACATTTGCAAATTCAAATCAAGTTTCTAAATTCTAATCTTATGTTTGCAAAACTAAGAGTCATTAAAAAAATATCCAAGCCTTTGTTCAAGCATTGTTAGGAAAAAAAGCCAAACAAAAATTCCTCATGTTCACTCTTAAATAACGATAAAAATGGGGCAGGTACTTTAAACTAAAAATGAAATATTTAATGATGCTTCAACTGCACTTTTACCACCATCACCCCTAAAATGCTGCATGCAATTCTTTTTAAAATAAGCAAGAGCCTGCAAAGCCTGTCAGACAAGCGTTGTTTTAATGCAAAGTGTCCACTCTTCCCAGCTAGAGAAATGTTGGCAAGTCCTCCATAAAAAACACATTAACACTACAGCTTGCCTAGACAAAATGTATATATTTCTAAGTAAATACAGTAATACTTCTATCCAAAACCAGCTGAAAACGATCTTTCCAAAGAAAGAAGAGTAGTAAAATCAGCACAAAGCAAAGCAACTCTGTATATGATAAATAACACTATAAAAATGGTGATTCCAACCACAGTGAAACATTTTACAGGACAGAAAACATGCACATGCATTAACCTAAGAAAGGTATTTGACAGATTTTGATTTCCTGGCTCTTAGTCAGGGAGTTAATTATACCAATGTTTAAATCCAGTTAGACAACAACTGCTAAGCCAGCTGCAGTAAACACAGGTATTTTGTACAGGTTTTGGTGGAAATAAAGACAAGACTTCAATACAAAAGGTACCACAGTGCATTCAGAAGCATGTGACAAGTCTAAACCAGCATGCAGGTGTGCTTATGTACATGCACACAAGGGAAGACAGGAGATCTTCAGGGATTTCAGGGACTTTTGTGACTGGTCAAGTCCCACCACTCACCTTCACAGCTGTAACTGTACACAGCCACTGCTGACCTCTCCACCAGGTTCTCATCATGGTGCCAGCTCACTGCCATGTTCCCCATTCCAAAGTAAGGCTCTTGTTTCAAGTACAGCATTTGTAGTGGATCCATATAATTTAATAAAGTCAAATTATATGATGTTCTGTTCTTTAGACTTCTGTCATCCTCTGGTACACAAACACTGCTTTGATCTTTTGAAACAGACACTTGCTCTGTAAGAGAAGTAGCAAAACTTTGCTTCCTATCTAGTATAGCAGTATCGTTAATTTCTTTGTTTTCAAACAAATTTTGTCCTTGTAATGCCTTGACTGTTTCAATATGCAAGTAGTCATTAAGTCTCATTAATGCTTTACAAGCATCATGTATTTGAGGACTGCAATATTTTATATTGTAACTTTCTGCAGGCCAAGGAACTGTAAATAATCTTGTGTTCAAGTACTTATAAGTGCATCCTGGGCTTCCAATTAATATACGAGACACTGGAGTGAGAAAGTCTTTTCCTTTGATCCTTACAAGATCTTGAAAGAAACAGTTGTGTTCTCGCAAGGCCAGAAAGCTTTCTTGTACCATTTGATGGAGCTCTTCAGGTACTGTATCAGATTTCCTGAAAATCAGCTTGGAATACTTGGTCTTCCACTAAAGGAGAAAAAAACCCCAAACAACAAAAAGAGGAAAATAATTATTCTTTTTACAGGAGTCAAGGTATTTCAAGACAAGGCAAAGCTGTCAAGTTAACAGGAATGAGTCTAGAATGTGGTGAAGATATGGATGCCAGCACTTTTTACTTTTCATATTTCAGGATATTGCACAAGCTGTGGATATTATCAGTGGCTTAAACCAGAGCAAATCTCCACGTAAATAAATACGAAGACTCTAGAACAATTCAGCAGAACATACAGCTCATCTGATGAATCGGTAGATAATGCCACCTTTAAATATATAAACAAGAGAATATGAAGCTGTAAGAAAGTGATTCCTCTTTTTCAATGGTTGCAAAGACCCTTCAGTTTCATTCCGGTGTACAGTAATCTAGAGATCTACATGATACAGTCAAATAGCTTTATCTAACAATACTTTTCAGGGAAAAAATAAAAAAATCAAAATGTACATTTTTTTAAAAAATGCTCCACTAAAATTCTGGTGCTTTCTATTTCTACATTCCTCAGTACCTGCCAATTATCCCTCATTTTATATAAAAGCTCTCTTTTGATAACAGAAAATGTCCAGACTTATTTTCTTCCCCAGCTCCCTACCTGTAGTGTCCTTTTCCCTCATATCCTCTTGTGACCACACCAGCTCTGGTATCAGCTGGGCTTCAGAATCCAGCAGTGTGTGGAGGCAGCAACTCCCAGCAAGGTATAACACTGCTAATCAGCAGCTTCTTGCTTTGTATGCACAATACTGCTTCCCACTCCAGGAAGGCTTGGATAATTTTATTTTGTTAATCTGGTTTTCTGAGGAAGTGAGTATCACATAATCACACCTTTTATTGGTTGCCTGTAAATCTGCTTTAACTACTGCTGAGACTGGCAAACTAGACAAAGGCTAGGGAATAAGTTATTTTAAAGAGTGGGTTCTTACGTATTTCATTAAAATTAATAGATAAATAAAAGAAACAGATGCACACTAGTGCCCTAGTAAGGGAAGGGCTGTAATGTGAGTGTATCAGGCATCATTTAGCATTTGTGAAGCTCCTAAGGACTCACTACACCTATTTCCTTTTGTCCAGGTACTGATGGTGGGGTGGGGACACATGTTAAGGTGGACTGAAATCTGAAGGCATTAGGCAATAGGGCAAGAGCACATGGATGCATAAAACTGATCTGCCAAAACTTTTATTATTAGTCTAATAGCTTATGTTCAAAGTGCTCTTAAAAAGACAAATAAAAGTCACCGGCACAAAGCACCACACTGACCTACAATCCATCTGTGAGCTCCTTCTGGTACAACTCAAACCCCCTTTACCAGTACTATCTACTTCCAAGTCTCATATGAACCTGCCTTTCAGGAAATTAATTTCAAAATCCAAAGAATGTGCCCTTAAAAAATACAAACCAGGCAGTAAGTATTCACATTTTCCACTGCATGAAAACAGACTTTTGCGTCATAATGCACTGTTATCCTATAACTGAAGAGCTGGCTTTATAGGTTCATTTGTTTCTACTAAAAAGAAGAACATAAAAGGAAGCCTATTTTAAAAATAATGATTACATATAATAAATCTTGGTTTATCTATAAACCTTGCCACTATTCCTTGTAAATTTTTACAGTGAAGCTAACTCCTTTTCTTTATATGTTCTTATGGTTCCAAAAACTAGCTTCCTAGAGAGAGGAAAATAAACCCCTGTAACAGTATCTACAGATAATAATTTCTGACAATTGCATTTACATGCTTAGCTTCAAACACCAAAGCTTGAAAACAGCCCCAGATCTGTGTGAAGGTCCCTCTACAACCCCACAACACAGGATCACAGCTTTGATTCAAAGAAGTGAATCCAAACTTGATAAACTACATTCACCTGAGGTTGTCAAAAGCCTGAAATGATTCCTTCAGAGGTCCTGAACTGCCCCTTTTGTTTCTATCAGTGCTGTGTATCTCCAGCCTTTGAACAATACAGTGAAAAAAGTCCTTAAAAACAACAACTAATTAAATCAGTAACTGTAAATTTAGGACGTGGAGCTATAGGCTACAGTCAGATGTGAAGGTACAGGCTGATGGGAATCATAAATATTCTTTCATAATGTTGCTTAAGAATGCTAGAATATTATGTGTTGTGACATATAAAGATTATTATTTCATTATTTCTTTCATTATGCAAATGCCCTGTATGAAAGAAAGAGCTCTAACAGTTCTCTAGCTGTACCCCAGTATTTCTTTAAATAATTCTGTATACTGGACATACTCACACCACACTACATATGCTATTATGGTGTATTTAAACAGTCACTAATACTATATATTTTTAAACCATTTATATGAAAATATAAATACACTGAATTTCTGACATTAATCACACACACAAAATTCCAAACAATTATTAGGAACAGAAGGAGGGAAATAACAATACGACGTAAAGCAATTAAATCCCTGAAAACATGCACTAGAAAGGAAGAACACAGATTTTACAAAGGAAACAACATTGTATTCCCCTCCTGAACTGCAGAGGTAATGCCTTGCACATTTTGCTGCCAGCCAAGTCAGAGGCCTGTTACCTTTGGGTTGTGCTTTAAGATCACATGCTTAAGAACTATTTTATCATTAAGGTATCTCAAAAGAAATCAGGAAGTGGAAACACATTTCCGACACATCACATGAAAACAGCCTGGTCTTCTTTAAATCCCCAGCCAGTGCCTGTGCTGTGCCCTCCATAAGGAAAGAATTACAGGATCAGAACACGGGGTGACTGCTGGGTTCACACTGGACACCTTGTTGTTCTGGGGGTGGGGCAGGGCAGCAATCATGTACTCTGCCTTGTAACTCTGACAGCCAGCATCAGAGGTCAACACACTGCTCACTCTGAAAGAAGTGGCAGCATTACAGGCAACTACAGTACAGGAAAAAAAACCAACCACATTTGATGTTCAAATCTTTTTTGACTATTACACGCAAGATTTTAAGTATGCTTTCACTTTTGATGGTGATGCTCAACACAGAGAATCACCCCATGGACCTGAGTGACAGAATAAAGTTAGGAATCAGTAACATAATGATAAGCAAACTGTCATGTGAATCATGAAATTATAGTCTGAACTTAAAATATTTGTGAACAACCTTGTTGCAGCCCCTTTCTTTTTCTGTACTGGCTTTAAACATTACACTGTTTCAGCTTATGGCTTGGGGCCCATTTCCAAAATCCTTTATCAGGAAAAACACATTGAAAGAGGATGTGAGTGGAAGTTTTGCTTGTGATAGAATTTCTTACTTCTGTTCAGGCTGTACACTTCCATACCTGACAGGATAAGACAGTTTTTTAAGTTGCATCCTTCCTAACTTTTCCAACACGTTCAAAGAATACTGTTTCATAAGAGTTAGATCCTTCAAGGAGTAGGGCAGGTCTGTCCAGGAAAGACAGACTATAAAACTAAACTGTATGTGATATTTTACTTTGCCAATTTGTTGTCTTCAAGTTCTCACCCTTCTTTTCCTCCCCAGCTGTAGCGCATTTAAGCATCATGGAACTTGCAATTTCTACAGCTGTGATTCCATGAACATTTCATAACCACCACAGACTTCAAAAGGTGTTTGTGATGTTTACGATTAGCCTATACACTTAAAAATACCTAACATGCACAGACACACTAGATAAAAAGTATAATTCCATATTTGCAAACAGAATGCATTGAAAAATTATTAAGGACTGAACAGGTGTGATTTTACTGCTTATCTTGTTCCCATTGTCTTCTGTATTTATGGGTTACTGACCCTGAGCAAAAGAGATGCCACCTTCCCTTTTCACATCAGCTCCAGGAGAAGATGAATTTACAAAGATGTGAAAATGAAAGAAGATGCTGGGCACAGCAGCTCTTGGCAGCATCAGAGGCAGAAGAGAACAAACAGGAACAGGACTAGGAAGAAAAAAAGTCAGCTGCCCACTTCTTAAAAGAGGGAAGAGTTTCTTCATGAGCATTAAGACTGAAAAGAATGTGTTTGGGCTTTGTGTAAAGAAAGAAGAAATAATAAAATCCATCTGTATCACTCTTATAAACTCTCCCAGCTCTTCCACACTTGCACATCTTTGAGCCATATATCAATACAAGGCAGGCACACTCCTGTGTTGTGTAATGTCAGCATGCTCACTGGAGCTCTTCAAACAGCCAGGTTATTCCTTTTGCTTTTTCTCTTACCATGATCCAGTTTGATCTGATTGAACCTACCCTGAGTGCTGTAGCTGATCTAGAAAGATCCAAGACAGATGCAGAAAATTCTATTTATTCCCTATATTCTTGCATACACTCACTTGGTTCACTACTCACGTGGCTGCTGGGCCTGATCTTACTTCTGCTTGGTTTCATTTGAGGCATTCCAGTTTCCACAGTTTGTTTTGCAAGCAAAGTAACAATTACTTATTGTTGGAAAGTAGAATTAAGCCTGTCAAACTTTAAATTTCTATGTTAATATTTCCCTTATTTTGCCCAATAGGAGCTATAAAATTCTCTTCACCAGTCAGAAAAATAAATTAAAATATTGACGACAAGTATTTTGCTTCAGCAAAGCATGAAAAACTGTGATTAACTGTTATACATTACTTGTAGTGAGGGCACACACTTTATAAAAATAAAGTTCACCAAGTTCTCATTTGTGAACATCCCAGTTCTAGAGATCTTATTTCAACCACCTGGAAGTGCATTACCAGCTATCAGGATACCTTTTTTCATATCAGATTTCACAGTGTCTCTTTGAAGGAAGATTTATTTGTTGTTCAGTGCAAACAGCCATTTTAGTTTAAAATTATTTAAAAGAAACACGTTACCAGCTGGTGGAAATCAGCATCGGCTGGTGTCAGGTATGGAAGTCTATTCTCCCCAAGTTCTTCAAGAAGTTTTTTCCTCTGTTTTGGAGGAGCAAAATGGAAACAGAAAATTAGACTTAAAAACCAAGATATAATCAGAGAAGTATAAAAATAGTTGCATTTAAATGGTAAAATCAGGCGCAATTACTTCTTTTACTATCTTCAATTCTGGAAAATTAAATAAATAAAACAAAAAAAATCAGGGGAAATTCTCTGCTTGCAAAGCAGCAATTCAGTTTAGGCAGTTTAGAGCTCATGAGTGGTTTTACTCCCAAGTTCTTTTTTAGATATCAGTACTTGTTACACTGATCAAAATTCATCTTGGCCTTATGTTCTTCAGACCTATGCCTACTTTATAACTACACATTCATTTCTTGTTTCCTTTCCATTTTTCTTTTTTACTTCAATTTGTGCAGCCAATGGGTACAAAGCTCGTATTTCATCAAATGGCTCAAAACCCCACTTCATTAAAACAACAAGCCCCAGTATTGGGGGTACTCTAACATATTTCCTGAAATAGTTTATGAAATAAAAGGAAAGCACAATCTACTGTAGCCCAAAGCCCCAGCAGCCTGACAATATTTGAAATGCCACCCTCAAGACCTGCCATCCCAGAGACAGCCATAAATCCAGTTTGATGCCGAGAGTGCAAAAAGAACCAGCTGCCTGTAAAAACAGGTTTCCCCTGTCCCCTTCTTCTCTCAATTCCATTTCTACTTCTGATTTAGACTGAGAGCATCTCCACCAATATTTAGCCAATGTGATCACTAATAAATTGCTAAGAAAAAAGCCTGATGTCTCTCCAAATTGTATTTTTCAGGTTTTTATTAATCAAAATAGATTTTTTTTGTGGCACTATGCAATTAATTGTGTTGATGATTTGCCAAGTGTAAGACATGTGTGAAACATGCCATCAGAATTTTTGGAATCAAACAATCCTGATCCATGACAGGTCCATTCACACTGATCTACTCACAGAATAACTCAACATTAACTTGATGTAAGTACAGCTTAACCACAGTGTAAAAATTATTACAGTGGAAGTTCTGGCCTACAAAACTAATAAAATCCTTCCTCTACTACTTCTTTCTTTTAGATTGCAGGGATTGCTTTTTACAAACTTTGATTATTAACAAATTTTAACTTACTTGCAACTCAAAGACCATAAAACTGTATCTGCCATAATGCCTAAATATGTAACAGGACTCAAATTTTTATTTTGATTGCAATATTTTCAACTACATAAACACTAGCACAAGAAAAAATTCAATATTTTTATGTTGTAAGAGAAAGACCAGATGGAAATAGAATACTGTTTCTAAAAAAATATTAAGGTTATAATACAATGGGAAACATTAAATAAAAAAAAAGGTATGACTAACACTTTCATAAAACCAAGTTCAAAACAAGGTGAAACTAGATCTTCACTATTCTGGCACTACTATTTAAAAAAGGAAGAGAAAACTATTTATGTATTAACTAACTTCTGTGTTACAGCAAACACGTAAACGAGGAAAGCTGAACTATGGAGTGTAACTGTGCATTCTGTGACAAGGAATTCCTTTCATTCAAATTTCAGCACCGAGAAAGGCGACAGAGGCTTAAAGTCAGGTGGAAGTATGGAGGATTTTAAGGTTCATAGATCAGTCAAACTACAATGAGAGCAGGTGGCTCCCACTCACCCCCACACCCAGAATGTGCTGAGCACTGATTGTTAACGAGCCTGAGAAGAGCAGCACTGACATTTCTGAACTAGTGGTGTAACTTCTTTGTGTCCTCAGTTTTCTTTGGGGACAGGTTGTTGGGTGTTGACATGAAGTCATTGGTGAAACACAGCAGATTGTAACTTCAGATTAAGTTGGCAGAAAATGACACACGGGTTTCCTGCATTTTCTAAAACAATTACACTCCTCTATTACCAAAACTTGCCAGAATTTTATTACATGAAATTGCTGAAAACATTAGACTGGCTTTGTTACCTGTAAGATAAACCATATTAAACTGCAGGGAAAAAAAAATAAAATAAGATATTTTAACATGGACTCACATCTGTGGGAAGAAAAAAATAAAAGTGGGAAGAAGAGAGATTCTGACAATTTCTTTGTCAAGTATCAGGCACTTGGCAAAAAGCACACAACATTAAAATGCACTCTTGTGTATAGGCAGTAGTAGTTCACATTTGATTGTCAGATCTGGCTAAGTGCTGCTCTTCAGCTTGATGTGCAGACTAATACACACAGCTGGGTGGTAGAACATGCTGCTCATCTCTTATGCAAGAAGCTGTCACACAGATGTCAAAAACATCAAGCTACTCACAAATACCTCCAAAAAGAAAAAAGAAAAACTGAGTATCTGGCTATACCAGCTGGCTGATGTGAAAGTCTAAGCAGTGTTACATAAGCATTGTTTATTGGTTCTTCAAACACATAACTCCCTCAGTAAAAACGAAAAAAACGCCTTCACTTGAAGATGTCAGGCTTCTTAAAAAGCATTTTTCTAAATCTAATTTTTAAGTTTTAAAAATTATCAACAGTGTAACAGTTTATTCCGATATCAAGATTATGTTCCTCATGTTTTAAAAAACAATGTGATTTTTACACAGACATTAGTGATGCCAAGACATGAAAGACAATCTGATGTGCACCATCCCCATCACCACACCCTGCACTGCTTTAGAAACTTTGTCAGGTCTTCATCTTGGGCCTTCAGAAAGGCAAAAACCTCTGCAAATACTTATTTTATGGGCTGTTGTGAGTGTTAGTGGAGCTATTTTAAGTGACTGCAATAAAGATCGGAAACACAAATGCCCAATTTTAGAGTGCACAAGGAACATTCTGCAGACATTAATCTCTGCTCATTCATTAATAACAAATAAGATTATTAATGAGACGGTTGTAAAATTCAGCAAGTGGAATATTAATAATTGGAATCTCTCAATCACTATACATGTAATTATTTATTTTTCCTGTCAAGAGAAGTGGTGCCTTGTATGTCACAGAGCAAGAGAAGTAACAGAAACACAGCGAAGAGGTGAGGGTGCAGAGAGGATGGTGTAGCAGCTTTGGAACATCATCCCCACTCCCAGCCTACAACAGCCCCTCTGCAGCAACTCCTTTCATCAGAAGTTCTTCATACATTGCCCATTTTTTCATCTTAAAAGTTTGCTAACTGACTGCTGCACTTTTTACACTTCTGAAACTACTTGTGATCAGAGCTAGTAAAACACTTTAAGTGATTTTGTTTGTTTTTGGTTTTTTTGGGTTTTTTTTGGTCTTTGTTTTTGGGTGGGTTTTTTGGGTTTTTTTTTTTGTTTTGTTTTGTTTTGTTTTGTTTTGGTTTTGGTTTTAATGCAATCCAATGTTTTCACAAAAATTTCAGGCATAGATCATAAAAGAAGAGCCATTATTCAAAGCATAAGAAAGTATAATATCCTTCTCCAACAGTTTTTCCCAATAGTCTTTTTGTTTTCCAAAAGGTTACCAGGTTTAGAACGCCTGAGAATGCCTATTGTAATGAAAGAAAGATCTGAATCACAGTTCAGATGCAAACCTGTGATTTCTCAAAAATCTCTCCTTCCTATTACCTTTTTTACCCACATAAGAATGTCCATTAGGACCTGTGTTTCTCTTTCATTCTTTTCTTTAATCAAATCTAGTAAAACATGGAGTTCTTTCAAATCCTCCATGAAGCAAAGGGTCAGTGCTCTAAAATGCTTAATAAACAGTTTTATAAAGGAGGAAGATTAAACATATAGCAAAAGTTTTGTGACACATTACAAAGACCCCATCAAGAAAAAAGTCATCATTTTACAGGAACTTCTAAAACATTACTTCCTAACAGCCTTTCACATGTAGGGGTTTTTTATAAAAAATAAAACTGGGATAGTTTCTTAAGGAAGGAATGTGATTTTGAAGTTGACATTTGTTTAAACTACAAGGCTTTCCAAGTGTTAGCTATTAAAACTTCATAGCTACCAAGATCATTCAAGTGGTTCACTAAAACAAGTTATGTCAGAAATGAATCTAGAGTAATAAAAAATACATCCTAAATGTACCATTACAGCTTTTACTTCTCCATTATCACATATATTAGATTTCAGATTTTTTTTTCTGCAAATTATTTCTGTAAACTCTACTCATCAAAAGATCTTAAGGGACTGGCAAATTTTACAACACCATTTATTGACATGAAAATGTTATATTGCCAGTCTACTCTTCATTACATTCAAGACTTAACCAAAAACCTTGTCTGTGCCACGTTCTACAATGCAGCCTCCCAAAAATACTGGTAGACATATGACCATACTGTACCACACTGCACACTACAAAAGCTGCTCTCCTTGCCCACCTAATATAAGTCAAAATCATTTTTATATTAAGGGCAAAAATATGTACAATTGTCATTACTATTATTCTATATAAACTCATTAAAATATCTACGATGGTCTAGCAATATTTTATGCTTATGTTTATATATCCGCTTGCTAATTATACTACAATAAATTATACTTGTTATTTAATACAACTACAGGGAATCCTGTTCTTCCACTGAATAAACGGGTCCAGCTACAGAAGTAACAAAATGCAGTTCAAGTGACCTGGGCATGAAAAAAATTACGTAATGAACAATCCACTGCCATGCCCAGACCTCAGGTCTTACATCAGCATCTGTGAGTAGCTGTCACAAAGACTGTTTGATATTCTCTGCTGCAAAGGTACTGTTTGGCTTTGCTTACTAATTTCAACCTCTCTTACCCTTTCTCATAAATCAACAGGCCCAGGTTTTGGTTCACACACAGACCAGTCATGCATACGCACAACACACTCCACTGATGTAACTGAACTAAGAGTTAATTTATGCATTGAAGCAGCTTAGCAATGTGTGAAAAATGTCTGCTGCCAGTATCCGCTCTCCCCATCTTCAGGTGTTAAGGGGCCCTTAATTGTTGTTTTAACCTACAGGAACATTGTTCCTTCGGCCAGTGGCTGTTAATGGAACAGAACTGGCAATTTCCTTACCTAGCTGAGTGTAGATTTGTC